GGTTTGGGGATCGTTTTTACGCTCAGAGCAGCCGTCCGCTTCGTCCTGGAACGACCCTCCCACGAGACGTGAGCAGATAAATGTGAGCGGTGAACGCCTTGTATTTCATTCCGAAAAATAACACCGACGTGGCACAGTCACTCGGAATCATTGTCGAAATTAAGTTATATTTTAAAAGCCCGGCCCAAAAATAGGGCCCGACATCATCTTTGTTCACGGCCCCGTGGTGATATCTTCGGTACCAATGAAAGAGTTTTCTTCCTTTCTGACCTCGGTCTGCGCGTCGACGTCTCCGTCCTCCAGCGTGAGAGCGGCCAGCTGCTTGGAACGCTGCTCCAGCAGGTTGACGTATCGAATGGGGTTGGACAGAGCCTCGATCACGTCTGCAAGGCAACGGCAGAGACAACCCGGGAGGAGATGCGCGCTGAGTGCTTAGCAAGAAGTATGCACGAATGATGAAAAGGAGAGATTCATTCCAATTCATAAATATTTGGTGGTTTCTGCTCAGATTTTTTTTTAAACGGAGGCTGAAGACTTTTATCATTTATGTTCATTGTGTCAAGCGTGAACTTAAGACAAGGAAGGCTCATAGTCAGGTGTACACACACACACACACACAAAATAAAAAAGAAATCAATCCCTTTTTGGGCTCGCGTGTACCTGCAAAAGTGTCCGGGACATAGTCTTTGACTTCCATGAAGACGAACACGGCGGGGAGAATCAGAGACTGGTTCTTCTCGTTCCTCAGGCCGATATAACGATAGCCTTGAAAGAATACACGTCGCGGTCCACACTCAGAGCGGCAGCATCTCCTTGGCATCGTCGCGTGACGGTAGACGTCAAAGAAAGGCGGGTACCGGGGCGTATGGCAGACACGGGGATGATGCGATGGCCGATGAACTTGCCCCCTTCCTCAAAGGCGGCGATTCTCAACGAGGCCAGAGTAGGAAGGATCACCTGGCGGGCGGATCGGCGGAGGACGTGAAGCGCGATGATTCTGAGCTTCATTCAATCATTCTGACCCAAGTCAACGTTGATATTTAGAACAATGATAGGTGCACCCCGCCCCCCACAAAAATTCTCAAGAATCCACGGTAGAAAAGACACGTTCAAAAAAAAAAAAAGAAAATCAAGAAATTTGGGGAAATTCTTCCCTTCCGCTCAAGTCGCTTTGACTTTGCATATTGAACTTTGGTCGGCATGTCCAATCATTAGCGGCCCCACGAAAAAAGTCTCAAGAAACCATGCCAAAAAGGTCGGTCTGCCTTTTGGGAAATTTCCAA